TGGCTGTTGCCCAAGCCACCCCCTGGTGAAGCCAGCTGCTGAGTGTGGGATTTGTGTCCACATTCCTGCCAGGGCCGAGGGCCCCAGGGACTCTAGAAGCAGAATCCTGCGTTAATCCCACGAGCCACTCAGGGCCAGGTCCTCGTGGCCCCTGGAGGGTCCGCTGCCCATTCAGCCTCACAGCTACACACAGGTTCTCTGCTGACAAGGCTAGACAAGACCTGGAACTGAACCTGGGTCTCCCGCGCAAGAAGCAAGAGCTCTACCACTGAGTTATAGCAAATGCCTTGAGCAGAGGCAGGAGAAAGGGAGCCACATCCTAGATCCCAACTCTTAGGCGCTGAGGCCCTGGGGCCCATTTTACCAGCTCTCCGGGCTCCTGGCCCCGCCGTACTTAACCCGAGGCAGTTCGCGTTTCCAGTTCCCTGCACTGTCAAGAGGATTCAACAGGTGCAAACACACCTCACACTTATGATTCACCTGGGTTAAGTGTCACTTTAGCATTCTCACTCACTGCCAGCCAGTGGATCCAGACAGTGGCTCTACAGGATGGAGTCGAACTGCTGACCTTGCAGTTAAGCAGGTCAACCATGATGGCACCTTTGAAGGGCCACCAGGTTATAAGATACGATCCTGCTTGTATTAAAACGGCGGGAAGAGGCGAGGGCATGGGGATGGGATTTGTTAGTGGTTACCACGGGAGGAGAAGGGGGGCTGCGGGGGGGTCCCTGTTGATGGGGACGGTTGCACACTGCACAGCGATTGCTGTCGTCATCCTGCCACTGGACTGGGAAAGGTTGCCTTGTATGAGGGGGTGCAAACATTACACTGTCTCCCCGTTTCATGCTTCCAGGGCCTTACTCAATTTCCCTCGCGTATGTTTCTCACATACACACCTCACCCAAAACGAGTTCCCCCTTTACAAGCGGAAATCCACTGCTAATCAGAAAAGTAGGTGCTAGCTAGATTTGAAGGGGCCGGCGGGGGGGACTCTCAGAGTGAGTATGTTTTTCATCTGAGAGGCGCTGTTCTGAAGAAGAAAGCTAAGTGGTTTAAAGAGCGCTGGGTGAAGAGGCCCGTGTACTGGCTGGGGAACAAGGAGCGTGGGGATGGGGTCAGTGGGAAGTTGCTTCTGCCAAGAAGAGTCCTCTCACGACGACTTCAGAACGGAACGTGAGATGAGGATGTTGGAGGCACAATTTCTGGTTTCTATTACCAGAGAATTCCTTTTATTTTAAAAAAAAAGTGGTTTTTGGACCCCGTTACCCTGACACCCAAGTAAATGTTGGATTGGCAAATGATGCGTTAGGCAGTAAAGGGGTGCCAGAACTCATGGAAGGCAGAAACCTGCCAAGAGGTGGAGAAAACTTAACATCGTTCCCACTAATAGATCGGGATAGAAACGGGCCAGGACTGCACCCTCCCAAAGGTGGAAAACCGCCAAGACCCAGACCTGCCGAGTTCCGGCTCTCACAGGCTCCACTCTGTGTGTTTTGACCACTGAAAACCCCAGGATACCAGTTTCCCCTGTAAAAATGGAAGCCAGCTTCCAGTCTCAAGGGCATGCTATTTTTTGTTCATAGGATGAACTAAAAGTTTTAATTCAAAACGCTTTCCACTAGCTTTTATCAACAGATAGCATCTTTGTCTTTTACAACATATTAACAAAATTGTCTTTTTT